CACTGGCAACCAAGGAGTGCAGCAACTGAGAGTGAATGAGTAGTTGAGAAAGTCAGAGTTAGGAAAAGAAGATTATACCATGGTCTAGGTGTGGTGTGATGGTTTTTTCAACTTAATCACACTGAACGTCATGTACTTGGCATCATAATAATTTTCTAACTGGAGAAGTTCTTTCATACTAAAATATGAGTTGTGTTAGAAACTGATTCACACTTTTTAGTAATCAGGACACTCTGCTACAAGCCATTATGGATTTTTCATGACTAACAGGAAGGAAATCATAAAAACTCAAGGATTTGTAGAACTAATGAATGAGGAATAGCAATTCTTTATTTTTCTTTCAAAAGGACACTTGACATCATATAAATAAGCATGGCTTTTTTAACTTTATTAGTTTCTTCCCATTTTAATATTGGAGGTCTTGATCATGTGAGAAGAAATAAATTTGAGAGAAATAAATCAGTTCAGCCCAATTTCATTGATTGAAATGGACCCATAACAAATATTGAAATGCATTTTTATGGATTATCTCTTTTTGTATAAAAGAACTATGGAGAACTGTAAGCAGTCCGTGTTATGAAATGTTACCAAAATAGAAAAAGAACGATAGGAGAGAAAGTAAACATCCTAATGGAGAAAAAAGGGGAGAGAGGAAGAAAGAAACAGTGAGTATTGATGAGAGGAAGTCAGAAGGAGGCCATTGGCAGGGAGAAAAGGGGATGGACAGGATGGACAGAGACATCAGGAGTGTGTGGGGGAATAACAACCAAATGTGAATGAGAATGCCATAATGTAACCCAGTACTTTGTATGCTAACTTAAAAACTAACAAAAAGGAGAGTCATCCTCCCAATAAATCATCATTTCCAGAATGCAGCTCCCAAAACAAATAGAGATATTAGTCTTTGGGTAACATCTGAGGTTTGCTTTCCAGCTGTCTCTGACCTAGTTAAAGAATAAGAAAACGCTTCTCCATCAAGCTCCTTGCAGCCTTTCTTTCTTTATCTTTTCCCGTCTTACTTTTATAGAACCAACACAAGCTTCATTTCAAGGATTCACAATGCCCTTAGGAAGTAAACTGCTGACTGTCGAGAACAGAAATGATGAAGAGTTTAGAAAAGTATGACCCAAGGGGATTGATCTTCCGCGAGCATACACAAATACCCTTCATTGCTACCCATATTAGTATCGTATTTTTCTGATTGACGTCCTATTACTGACCTCTTTCCCATGGACGTGGTAATCCTGGGCTTAACCTTATAGTTCCAGGAGCTGAGACTGAGTAGGAGATGGGGAATTGGGAAAGTAGCTTTGGAAAGTGTTGATATCCAGGTCCTAGATGAGGATGTAGGAAACTAGGTGAGTGAGAACTTCAGGTCTCAGCTGAGGATAGAGATCAGACATGGAAAAAATACTCCAGAGTGAAGAACAAGCAGGGTACCCGAGGTAGATTTGGGAGGAGAAACTCAGACAGGTTTCCAAAGAGTGGGAGCATAGTCTGGGAGGATTTTGTACTTGCCACGCAGTTGAGCCCCTGGGTTGGGTGGGAATCATGAAACTGAGTTATTTTGGCAGCCGTAAGAACTCAATTGTCTCCTTAGATATAAATGTCTTGGAAAATGAAGTAGAAATAAAACAACAATTTGGCAGAAAACAGCATTATCAAAAGAAATCCAATTTGCAAGCAGAAAAGCAATTTGCATCTTTGGACACTGAGAATAAATTAAGTCTCCAAATTAGTCTAAGTTTAATAAATCAGAATGTTATCTGGCCTGGAAAAAAACATTCCTTATGTTTTTTATAGGCTTTCTAGATGGATTTATCATCTTCTAACATTCTGAAGCTTTATGCTTCTGCTGGTGAATACAATGTGTCTGCTGTTGTAGGAGGTTGTTCGGATATAGTGATCTTATAAATCAGGATTGCCTAGACCATATCTTACTAACAAAAGAAGCCTGAGATATGAGTTATTTCAAAGAACAAAAGTGTGTTTCTCATACTACATGTCGTGTTAGAGTCAACACGATGGCACAATCAGGTAAAGAGAATTAGTGGGTTCCTCCTCCTTGAGCAGGGCTGAAAGTCACCATAAGAGACCAGTCAGCTTGGAGGAACACAGAAGCTTTACATTGTCACCAAGTGAACTTTGCACAGAGATCTCATGCATACTCAGTACCTAGAGACAAATGTCCCCTCCTACTGCCCTGGGGGTCGGGAAGCCCTATCCCACAACAAAGATCCAAAGAACTAAATATGTCTCAATAATAGTCATGTTTATCCTTGTGATGTATTAAAAATCACAATATTAGGCATAGTTATCGTCTATCAGGAAGAGACAAACAGAAAGGAAAAAGAAGACAAATGAACCAGCCAAATGAACATAAAACTGAAGAACACCCAACGGCTAGAAGAACCATTTGAAGTGAAAATGTTTTTACTTGCTCCATAATGTAAAGTTACAACTTCAGATTTCTCTCAAGCACAAATCAAATAAATAATAATTTATGCCTGGGCCTGTCAGAGGAAGGACTTTTGTAAACAAGCTATGATAGAGTTCTGCTCTCTGGAGAGGAGGTGACCAGAGATAACAGAGACAAGGAGCTGCAGGGGCATGACAGCACTGAGATTGCCTAGATAACTACAGGCAGTTATCCAGTATTGTGACTTCAGAACAGAAAAAAAAAAAAAAAAAAAAAAAGACCTGAGCCTCTGTGACTAATTAATGAACAAAGAAAACTGAATAAATGAGCAAAGAGAATGAAAATTCCAAAGGACCAAAGGGGATCATTTTCAAGTCCACAAAATGATTTCTGGGGGTTTGGAAAGTGGATCTTTGATGGTCATTCTCTTTCAAGCCTCTAGAATGAAGAAAGAACCCAAAGCACTCTTCTAGTACAGTGAGAAAAAGCCCAGAGACAAGAGGGGGAAGGGTTAGAAGCCTGTTCTGAAAAGCACACGCTATCCTATCTGATCAAGAGAAGCTGGCTGTTCTAGACTCTGGAGATCTTGGTGTTAGCAGAATTTGGATGGATTGGTCAGTTCTCGCTCACATTCAGACTGAGATGCATGGGTGAGAATAGGATTCTTAGATGAGCTTAAGACATGAAGAAGCTCTGCATTCACCTTAAAGGAGAAAACCTGTTATAATGGCTTTTATAAACATTTCTAGATATTAATAACCAGTATTTAGTACTTTAGAAAAGGTCTTCTATTTCCTCGTATACATTCAGTTGAATCTTTGACTTCCCCAAATGGAGATTTGTTGTTGTCGTCGTCGTCATCGTCGTTGGAGAAAATACAGCTGTGGAAGTGTAAAAACTAGACTGAGTTACAAGTAATGATAATCAGGAATGATAGTGCTCATCCAGGTGTTTCATTGCCATAGAAGCAAAGACATGATGAAGGAATTATACTGCCGTGGAAGTAGAGCCCAAGAGGGCTTCACCTGCCTTTAAACGATTTATTTAACATAGTCTTGAAAAGCCATTGTTTCTGGGATTTCTGCGTCTTCATTTAACATTATCCATAGTTTATCCAAGCTATCTCGAGACTGTAAAGGGGAGAGAGCGGGCCAGGGAGCAGGTTTCCTCCCTCCATGACGTCTAGGTCCCACTAGGGACATTCTAAGTGTATTTTCTGTATCTGTATCCAGTGACTCCTAAAATATTACCCATCCTAAGAAGTAACCTCTGTCATACCATTTGTTCTGTCACTCCAGGTTCATCCTGAGTGGTTGACAGTATTTGTCAAAATGTGACACTTCAGCCAGCTGTCTTTTTTCACAGCCCATGCGTGCACAGTTGCTACTAGGGTAATTAAGACGGAAACAGCAGGGGTATTGAGGATGAGTCATGACGGGTTACTAAGAGGAATGCACCGTTCAACTCTTGAAAATATCCAAGTCAGGATGTTGCCTATTTTAGAAAGAGGATGATCATTTCAGTGAGTGAAACTTAATTCACGAGAGCTCAAGAAAAAGAAACATAAACTAGACCTTGAATGACAGGAAGGCTGGGTAGCATTCAGAATTTCAGAACACTGATTTTCACTCAAAAGCCACAAAGCTGAACCAAAGTTCTCAGGGAATAACAAGATAAGATGCTAGAAAATAACAATACAGTAAAAATTTAAAGTGACATCAGGGTTGAGGAGAGCAGAATCAATTAAATGCTTGCCATACAAACGTAAGGATCTGAGTTGAGTCTCCAGTACTCATGTAAAAAGCCTGGTGTGCTGACCCACATGATCCTAGCCCGGGGGAGGCTGAGCAGGACATCCCTGGGGGACGCTAGACAACTAGCTCAGACAATCCTGAGTGACCTGTCACCATCTGAGGAACAACACGAAGTTGAGTTCTGGCCTCCACATGCAGATGTATGTGGACCCGCACAAACATGCATGGTGAGGTTAGCGTATTTTGTTTTGTCCTGATTTACTTTTGATTTTCTGTTTTCCTTTTGAGACAGCTTTCGTGTATTCCAAACTGGCCCTGAACTCACTATGTAGCTGAGAATGACCTTGAACTTCTGAATCTCCTACCTCCATCTCCTGAATATTAGTACTAAGGGCTTGTGCCACCGTGTCTCTTTTGAGATGCTGGAGATGGAATTGAGGGCTTTAGGTATGTGAGGCAAATGGTCTACCTACTGAGCTACCTCCCCGCACCACAGGATTTTTTTTTTTCTGGATTCCTAACGAATGTCTGACAAAGTAACTTCACTATCGGATTGGATTCCTAGAAAAAGAAACCGTATGGTGGAAGAAGCAGGTACCATGACTTACGATCACAGGGAAATCGTGCTTTAAATGGCTTTTGGTATTTACGGCACGAGAATGTTTTGTTTTTCCAACTTCCAGAAATATGGTCCTGTGATCGCAACAGATGTGCTATTTAGCTCTGTCTCTTTGACCTTTCACAAATCCTGTTATTCCAATCAGGTGGTGAACAGCTGTTGAAAGACGCTGCCCCTGAGAGTCTGGGGAGAAGATAAGGCTTGGACGCTGCAGCTTTTGACTTTATTCAGGGCATCATGGTTAAAGTCAGAGATTATAAACTCAGGATTTAGGATTGTACAGTAAGCACCATGCATTAATGTTGAAAAACCCAAATGTTTCTCTTTCCTAGAAGGACGAGAGGGTTGGCACAGGGTGCTCCGGGCTGTGAACACATTTGAATCTTCAGCTGCTCCCAGGCAAACAGTCTTTACAGGCAGGGACTGACACACAGATCTTCTGGCAATAATGAGACTTGTCCACAGGTCCTGTCTTTTTACGGTGTTGTCTTGGTGCTGTAAGACCTTGATACAAGGAGAAAAATTCACACAGTGGAGAGAACGCTAAGCCTGGTTTTCAGAAAAGACTGGCTCACTCCTCTCCTGAGGTTGCCTCGCTCCTGGGTGCTGCCACCCTGGAAAACACTCCAGGGCATGACTGAAAAGGAGCAGCAAGCTTGCCTTCTTCCTGGATGTTGTCACCCTGGAAGCACTCCAGTGAGTGACTGACTGAAAGATGGGGACAGGCCATCCCCTCACTGGCTGCACTTCAGTACCCTCCTCAGAGGCCAATATGTCCTCTGTACATAGGACGATGTACGTGAAGCTTGCTTGGTGGTCTCTGACAGATCAGAAAATGATACTGGAGTTTACTTCGATTTCTTTTCCTTGTTATATAATCCAATTTAAGTGCCTTTTAAAATGCATATAATACACAAGGACACAAGGCTGCACATAAAATAATGAATGAATATTCACACATGGAAAGTACATGATTTTTTTTTATCAATTGAGTCATATGCAATAAAATAAAACAGAGACCATAAAAAATGAAAATTCCAAAGACCTCATTCTGTTCAATCTCTTCTCCCTAGCCAGATGTTCCCAAAAAGGCAAGGAAGACATGTCTAGCTTCGGGAATCCTCAAAAAAAAAAAAAAGCCTTTAAAATAAACTTCGTTTAAAACAATGATCAGATCGAGGCTACCTTAGGGCAGAAGTAATGGAACTTGAGAGTGGGAGCAAACAGGAAGAGAAAGTCGTTATCCTTAGATGATATGTTTCCTCAACCGTAGTTTTTAGACAAAGGACCTTGACTGCCCCAACTTCATCATCCTCACCTGCCTGTCCACCACCACCACCACCACCCTACCCTGCACCCTCCCACCCCCCACACACCCCCATACCCCCACTTCACAGGGGGCCATGGTGAGCTTTCGATTATAATCCACTAAAGCCAAGGAACAAGACCCAGAACAATGGTACCACATGGGGGAAGATACATGGAATGAGTTGTAGAAACCAAGGATGGTTAGGAAAATGAAAGCACACTACTCAGAAGATGAGGACAGCTGGCTGGCTGCAGGGCATTGTCATCCGCTGTTTTGTTGAAAGATGCCGAACAACTGAAAACCCAGAGGCCATATCAGCAGACATGCTGCATTGGCCCCGGAGTCTTCTAACTTTCTTCCTTCCTTTTAATTGTCAACACTTACCTAAAGAGGACATATTTCTTGGCTTGGAGGTGAGCAAATGTCTCAGGAGGTGGCACGCTGAGTTTCAAAGGACACAGTTACACAAAGTTAGCCAAAGAACACAAGAAGCAGCTAGCATGATTGGCTGGGCCTGAAACGGGCTCCACTTGTTAAGGTCCTAGGATTTCCTGGTCTTAGGGATGTTTCTGTCTCCTGGCTGGGATGTGAAAACAGACACATTTAGCAGAAGTACTGTGCTGTGGGAAAGAATGTTGCCTTAATTATCTCTTTGCCTGCCATTCCCTCTGATTAGGAACTAGGGAAAGCTGTGAAGCCTCTCAACTTTTCCTTCTGACAGTATGCTTTGAGAGCCAGACACCATGACTATAGCTTGAGAGGAGATAAACCGAACATAGCGTTTTTAGAGCAGACCACAGGGAGCATTCTCTTTAGGTTTTTATGATAGGGAATGTATTATTATTTGGTCTGGCAGCCCCTATAGGTTGTAAGGTGAAAAAAATTCATCGTCTGATGTTTCCACAAAATAGTTGGTAATCTCACATTTACCTTGGGTCTTTAAAAAGTAATTTGAATCTGTGTTTCTGATTTCTGAATCCTGTGGCTTTCATGAACATTATGCTCTAACTCCAGTATCCTAGAGTCCCGTGCTGTGCAGAACACCAGCTCTGTGGAAACAAAGACCTGGTTGGCAGCAGCTGCCCATTTTTTTGGTGTAAATACTTTGGTGTAAAAACAACCAGATTGTAATTCCTGAGTACTTAATAGTCAACTCAAGAACTGGTGTAAGCTCAAACTGCTCTAAGCTCAAACTGTTCTTAATATCTTAGCATTTTGAAAAACACTAAGCTGGGTTGGAGAGGTGGATCAGTGGTTAAGAGCACTAGCTGCTCTTCCAGAGGGCCTGGGTTCAATTCCCAGTGACCACATGGTGGCTCACAACCATCTGTAATGAGTTCTTGGGCCCTCTTCTGGTGTGCAGGCACACATGCAGACTGAACACTGTACACATAATAAATAAATAAATAAATAAATAAATAAATAAATAAATAAATAAACTTTAAAAAAAAAGAAGAAGAAATGCACTAAGCCATGGCACAACCTTCTACATTCTCTTTACCATAGTTTGGAGCTGTGAATATAAGAGAACATTAACACTTACAGAAAAAGAGGCCACGGATTCAGAAGGAGCAAGGAGGAACAAGGAGGGGGAGGGGTAGCACATGTGTGGGGTTGGGGAAGGGAAGGGGATAATGATGTAATCACATTTTATTTCCATTAAATTAAAATTGAAAATAATGGAGCACTGGGGTTCACCCACATGATCTTAGGAAACAGCTTTACCTCGTGTAAATCATTGGTGTGCCATTTACAATAAGGAAATGTTAATATTCTCTACCTCTGGGCACTGTAAGAAGATTCCAATGAAACAATACAGCAAGAACATTTAGCAGAGTGTTTGAAATATTATGTATAAGAATTTAGTATTCTTTATCTTGTCATCTGCTATTGCTCCTTGACAAGAACTAGAGAAAGCTATGAAGCTCATCAGTTTTACCTTCTGATGGCCTTTTTTAAGAGTTGGAACTCTATCCGATTCTTCCCATCTGTAAGTCACATTCCAGAGTTCACAAAGTAATCATTTCTTTCAGGTGGTAAAAGAATTATTGAATTTTATAAGATATATCCTAAATATGCCACAAAAGCAAATAGAAAGGCCAAGCACAGTGGCACATGTCTGTGATCCCAAAATTTTGGACACTGAGGATCTTGAGTTTAAGGTCAAAACAGTGACATAATAAAGCCCCGCCCCCCCAAAAAAGGACAAAAAGTCTTTACCCGGCCTGTATCCTGTGTACTCTTCTGTCCTTCTTTCCTCCAGCAGCTCCAGAATTTCAAGTGTTGCATTGAGACTCCCTGATGTATTTGGAGTTGATTTTTGTGCAGGGTGAAAATGAGATCTAGTTTCCTCCTTCTCCATACAGATATCCAGTTGTCTCAGTACCATTTGTTTAATATGCTTCACTTTGTCCGGTATATTTGGGCGAAGGAGGGGAGACATCTTCGTAAAAAAAAAAGAAAAATGACTAGTTATGATGACTTATCTGTGAGTTTATTCCTTTAACAGATATTTGGTTTTGTGCCATCACACTGCTGTTTTTATTACTACTTCTCTGTAACATAACTAGAAATCAAGCATGGAGTATTTTATATGGGTAGACAACACTATTGCCATAAGTCATAAGTTTTTTTTTTTTTTTTTTCAATTCAAATCCCTGTGTCGGGTATGGGATGTCCCCTATTAGTTGTTGGCTAAAAGGCCTCACAGTCTCCCAAAACAACACAGGCTGTTGCCAGTGTCCTTGGATGGCCAGTGGAACTGGAGAGTAAGACTACTGATGAAGACAGAACACAATTTGAACAGAGGACACAGAGAAGCCCAGGTGCAAATGATCACTCCGCTGCCGAGCTTTCATAGTGCCACCGGTGATATGTAGGCTACTGACGAAGAGAAGTCACCGGTGATCACACCCAGCTGAAGACTCTGCAAACTAAGGCACCAACCAGCCTGGCGAGATGTGCCCAGGGGCACAATGGTAGCATGACTGTTACAGGGGTAATCAATTGCTTTCCTATTGAATGTGAGGCCTACTGCACAAGAGGGACTGTAGACCTCTTACTGTAGACCTGATCAAAAGCATATTTATTGTGAGAGGAAGACACAGCCCTACCAGAAAATCTAATATTGATACTTTGCTGACAGTACAGACAGTGAAACAACCTTCTAAATATTTATCCCTATATTCACAGGGTGATGCAGCTCGGTCTAAAATGCCTTTTTTGGCAGTGGGTCGTGGTCAAAACGGGGACCATCAATGGTCAAAGTGCTAACAATAAGCTACCCAAGAGTATGAGGCCTTAACTAGGCATTGGTGTCGCTCACTCTGAGTCCAAAAGAAGATGGCCAAAGCCAGGGAGGACAGCCTGGGAGGACTATGGGAGCCAGAGGATGTGGAAGAGTGAGGTGAAGCCCTGTCTTCTAGGCGTGACATGACTGGTGCAATCATAAAACCACAGCAGCTGTTAGATCCTCCACAAGGGAAGGGAAAAGGAAGGGGAGGGGAAGGAAGGACAGGGGAGGGAAGGGAAAGGGAAAAGAGAAGAGAGGGCAGGGAAGGGCAGGGAAGAGGAGGGAAGGGAAGGGAGGGAAGTAAGGGGAGGGAAGGGGAAGGGAGAGGAGGGAGGGGAAGGAGAGAAAGGAGGGGAGGACAGGGGAGGGGAGGGAAGGGAAGGAGAATGTGAGCAAGTGAGGGAAATAAATTGGGAGGAAGAATGTGGTCTGCAGAAGTAGAAGTGAAGGAATAAAAGCAAGTACCAAGGGGTGAAAATCACACTACATCGAATGCAACATGAAGTTGTCAAAAGTTAACAAATTTAAAAATATGAGCATATTTCTATGTGTTTCAATTAAATTTTAATTGCATTTAAGTTCTATTAAAATAAAAAAACATAAATTCAATTCCCAGTTGAGGGAATTCTCTCTTTGTCCTAGCTTTATGTGTTTTTTTAAAATAATTTTTGAATAGATGTTGAGTTTATATATTTATATATATAGATAGATAAATATGTGTGTGTATATATGTATGTGCATGTATTTGTAACAACAACTACAGAAAAAGATGCCATAAGCTTGAGAGATATCAAGGGGAGATTTTACATGAGAGTTTAGGGGGAATAACGTAATTATTAATTTCAAAAAATAAGAAAATATTTTAAAGACAAATACTGGCATAAATATTAACTTATGTTTTGTCATATAGTTTCTTGATAAAAGAAAACACTTTAAGACTTGAAGAGCAAGTTTCTTGGCATTGAATTTTGTCTTAATTTTTGTAACTTACTTTAGAAATACCCACTTGAGTAGGTAATAAAGTCTTAGCACCTCCTGTCAGCTTTTATTCACTGGATCCTATAGATACCTTGTCTTAATATTTTATTATAGAGACACTAGACTACTGAAGTTCAGTGGGAGCTATATTCTACTTTCATGACCTTATTGAAGTCCCCAGCTCTCTGAGCTTTACCACATTAGAGTGAATTCAGTCTATAACTTCTCTTAAACCCAATTCTTCTACCTTCTAAAATATTTAAAAGCTCCCAATTCGCCTTCAAAGCCAAAAGAAAAATGCATTTGTCTTTATTCTTGTGAGATTAGCATAAATAAATTTACGTAGGACCCTAAGGCAAATCAAATTAGAGTATTCAGACAAGTGTATAAATAATTCTGGAAATGTAAAAGGGGGAGAGCAAAATGTAGTTCTACAGGAATCTGAATCCATTCAATTTACAGTCCTTCTAAAAAAATCACATTACAGTGTGTTCTTCTCTACTCACACTTAAGAAATTAAAGCTGCATTTCTTTTAAAAGGCAAAGGATTTCATTTTAGAGATAAAAAAAGCTTAAAGAAATATTTTAGATAATAGCAAATCAAATATATACATGTGCATGTATGTATACACACAAAAAAATATATATATACATATATGTATGCAAAACTGGGATACATCCATGAGTGTGCCAGTCAAATAAAGGAAAACTCAGCCATCAGGTTAGTTAAGTTTTGTCCTAACACTCCTCTCAATGTACCATGTTTTAATCAATACCTTTGACAGTCTAATACTTTAGAAAAGGGCTACTGCTCTTAACATGTGTATCTAATGTACCCCTGCTAGTTCAGCTCAAAGACTGATGTTGCCCTGTCCTAGGCCATCTCGACGCATTGCCAATACGTTTACTGCAGCTCTTTGTTACTTCCTGAAAATCAGCACACAGATGACAAACCCTGAGCAGCACACCCAGTGTCAAGAGCCATGTGAACCATTAAAACACTTGTGCATAGCTCTTCAGTAATGCAGAAACGGAGCCCAGAAACAGATTGCAGCTTATTGCCACACATCGTATGTAAGCTGGTGAGTAATCGCTGTGACCAGGATCAAAAGACTTTTATCCTTATACATATTTTAGGCAGCAATGAATAATAAACCTGCAGCATTGCCCTTTATCTCTGATTCCTAACTCAGAGGTAAACGATACATCTTTTTTGGAGCATTTCACAGATCTGCTGATAGCAAATCTGCATTGTTCAACACGTACAATTTAAATATCAATTGCTTTTGTCTTGATTGCGCTTTGCACATGTGATCTGCCTAGAATAGAGAGCTCAAAGCCTTAGAAGAGGGTGTTTTAACAATTAAGAATTTAAAATTTTATACATGAAAAGTGCCCATAAAGCAGGGTTAAATTATTTGATAAATCTCTCAATCATATTCTTTGAATGCATAATTTCCCACATGCATTATTACAGGACTTATCTTGCAAAGTCCTAAAATAAATGGACATTGTATTATAGATTCTGTCAGACTTCAAACATCACCCAAGATTGCATCTTCATAGTTTTGATTGATGTAGCAATTCAGAGTTACTTTAAAAAAAATAAGGGCTACTATCATTTAATCCTAGGTACGCTGCAATTAGGATGTCACTAACAACTTTGCAGAAACCCAAGTGCAGTATCTGTGACATATTCCCACCCAGATTCCAGAAACTAGAGAGCAACCTTTAAAAAAAAATCATAGTATTTTCTTGATGTTCTCATTCGGTAACCAAAACCACCTAGTGATTCATGTTGTTGAAAAACACTCTGCTAAAATATGGCTCATTGCATTTTTATCCAGCAAAGTCCACAGAGGCCAAGAAAGGCTGTCCTTAAACATCCAGGCAGTTTTCCACAAGAGGGTGAGAAAACTCCACCCATGCCATAGACCTGCTCATCTAGGCCCTGGGATGTCACTGGATAGTTGAAAGATTTCACACTGAGGCCATGGCATCCACAAGCCTTTGAAGAGTGTCCAGCTGTACCTGCTGCCCCCGGAAAGCCCACATGACTGAGGTCTTCCGGTGGTTTGGCACTCTCTCCTCGGGCTTACTGGAGAGGTAGCTGTGCTGTGACTCAGTTGCGAGCCACGGCTGGGCCTTCTTCAGTCCTAGGGGAAGAATTGAGCAGGGAGAACTGAATGTTTGCTAACATAACTGCCATCTGCCACCAGTAAGTCTTATGGTGACAGAGTGCATGCTAATGCCAGATAGACTGAGAACACTCACCATCTGCTCATTGCCCTGAAATAAAATGAACTAGGTCATCTGGATTTGGAAGCCTCACTGGAATTACTGACATCTACTCCCAAACTTAGGGCTGGAAAATTTCCCCCAACTTTACACCGTTCAGGTCACTCAGAATCATTTCCTTGTAATAGAGAAAATATAAATCGATAATAATGTGTGTATTAACAATAAAGATTTTTCTAACACTTATTATATTCATAACCAGTGACATTACACATGATTATCCATCTACATCCTTGTATATGAAAAAAATAATTAAATTGAGCTGGTGATAAGACCCAATAGATAATGAAGCTTGCCCTTTGGCAATGCAAACCTGACCATCTGGATTTGACCTGGGACCCACACGAAGCCGGAAGGAGGCACAAGGACACGGACCTCCAACACCCACACATGTGCCATGGCAAGTACCTCACACAACTATAGCAATCTATATCTGTATCTATATCTATATTCATAACCATATTCGTATCTATATCTATATAGACACATATGTTTAAGTAAAAATTTAAAAATAAATGATAATTTTCAGTTCTTTATATTAGCCATGACTTGAATTATTGATCTCCTAAAGAGCACATGCCATAGCTGACTCTACTTCCAAGAGCTTGTTTAAATTACATTAATTTGAAAAGAAAAATAACTACTTTTAGGCATTGGTGGGTATCAATAACAGACCTTTAGATTACCTATCATGTACAGGCTTGGAATACAATTACTGGGGCTATCCTGAACTCCCATGAGAATTACCATTCATAAGCAGGTTTATCAATAAATCTCTATTCATAGCAATGTCTGGGAGTAGAAATTTCTTCAGCTTCTATTTCTCCAGTTTCTAATAATTTGAGCAGAATGTATTTCCAATTACTAAGAACATAATGAGCCAGTACTGTATGCTCCACAGTAAATATACCATTTTGAAAGAAGACAGAGGTTTATTGTTTCTCATTCTATTGTAATTATTTACATGACACATAAAGATTATGCATATACATAAAGGCAAAGCAAAATCCCAAATCACATGAAGTGCCTCAGAGTGAACATTCTGACTACAGTTTCAAGTCGACTTCTAGTTTCCTCTCACACTGTATCTCATACTCTCCCTGTTGCTGTGATCACATCTGTGTAATGCTTGTTTCAAAATCCCTTTATTATATTTATCTTTACTCTCTAGCTGTCCTTGAAAGCTTTGTGATAACATATATCATATACGGTTGTATTCATTGCTTTATTTTCAGTGCCTAAGCATATCAGAAAACCAGGTATGTTACTAAACATTTAGTGAATTATTTTTTAAAAAAAATATGCCATACTCATAGTCTAGTGGAATACAACTCAAAATAAAGCATAACTGAATTATTTCTTTCATTAACTTATTTATTTACTCAATGGGTGTCTGTTGAATATGTGTTATGTCAATATTGTCTTTAGATGAGTGTGGTTAAAGTATATATAATTACTGACTGTGTCTCACACTGTAGGAGATCAGTATTCAGTTATTAAGGTGGTAAAATGTATCATCAGGACTGGGGAGATATCTCAGTGGGTAATGCACTTGCTGCACAAGTATAAGGACACAGTTTGGATCCACAGAATCCACTTAAAACCTGAGCAGGTGTGGGGACCACGCAGCACTTAGGAGGCTTAGAAAATGCAGCCCTGAAGCAAGGTTGCTAACCAGAATCACCAGAGTTGGAAATCTCTGGATTTGACATGAGGCTCTGCCTCGATAAAAATTAAAGAACAAATTGTATTGTAAAATAAAATTAAATTAAATGAAAATAAATTACAGAACAACTGAGGAAAACGCACAGCACCAGCTTTTAGGCCACCCCATGCATTCTCACACATATATGCCCACACACACAGAAACAGGCGTTTGTGCATGCATGCACAATATCTACATACATATGCAAATAATACCACAATGTGCAAACATATAATTGTAAAATTCTAAAGAACAAAAGTGGCAATGTAAATTTGATCTACCCTAAAGGGCAAGGGAGCAGGAAAGTCTAAGGAAATTGGGATTTTAGATAACAGAGAGAGCTCAAGGAAGGAAATAAAATCTGCTTTCTGGAATTTTCATGAAAAGGCAGAGCCTTCAATGACCACGAGTTCTGCTTGTCTTTCCAAGGACGTTTGAAGTTAGTATGAAAACTATATTTAATACTGTGTGTCTCAAGGTATTTTGTTTTTAAATTCATGAATGTTAGATTTTCACATTTTAAACGTACCCGTCTTTTAGATTCATTGATTTTCAATGAACATATACTCCACGGAGTTTTGTTTTGGAAACCATTCAGTAGATCACAAACTACATGCTACTTGAGAAGCACCATGCATGAGTCAAAAATTCATCAGACAAAAATTAATTTCACACATTTAAGAAGATACCAGAAGAGGAGAAAATCACACAAAGCAGACTAGGAAAAGAATAAGAACAGTTGATCAAATCATGTTCTACATTTAAATTTTTCTTAAGAAAGAATATTTCTCTTTTCAAAAAAAGTTGTCATATAGGTATGACGGATGACAGAAGTGTGCCCCAAGAATGGTATAATTCTATACTTCAACTGCATTAAATATTTGTGAGAGGGGGTTAAATTAAGAACTACTTTCATCAAAGAGCTACTAATTTGTAAAATCCCTGTCATAATTTAAGAATGTAGTATTTCATAAATTATAGAGGAAAATAGGTATGATTTTTTTTGGAAGCCAGGCCCACACCCCATCAAAACCAATAAAATTGGGTAATGATCGTGAACTGAGTTTCAAAGCTGAGATTCCAAGTGCTTGGGCTATGGCAGTTATTATTTCCTGAATAAGACTTTATGCTGGATCCAGAATTCATTCTCTCTGACCTTCAGCCAAGAGAGGAAGTTGTGTGGGTGACCGAGTTTAGCGCTTGCTCCGGGGATTTCTCTCTAGCTGAAGCTAAAAGGATACTGTAATTGGTCACCTGGCCTGAACTTAGCACATTCTGTATTTAGAAGGCTTGCCCAAGATAATAATATAGTCTACCCCATGCCCCTGCAGTTGTATGAGAGAACAGTCACTGTGTTCTTGTAAGGAGGGGGCAGGTAGGGAAGATGAGCAAGATGGAGGGTGAGAGAGAGGCCTACATCTGTGTCCGTCACCTTGGGAGTCAAACACAGCTGAGTTGAAGCTCTGCTTTAAGCGCGCTGACATTTCTAATCTCCGCCAATTCTTTTCTCTTGCTTCAATTTAGAGAAGATTCCCTTTCATTTACGTATTTATCTTTACGTTTGACAAATTTTTACTTGTAGACAATATATTGTGATCATTGCCCTCTTTCAGCTTCTCCCCCTTCTGCTGATGCCTTCTTTTCAAGTAGTCCATTTCCTTTTTCGTGTTTGTGGATGTGTGTGTGTGTGTGTGTGTGTGTGTGTGTGTGTGTGTGTGTGTGTACTCAAGTTACCACAGCTGTTATTATTAAGAGTGTAACAGACTTCTATTTCCTTAGTGACAGAATGTTGTATGTATAGTAAACACTTAAATGCCTGGCAGACAGGAAGCAAAAAAAAGTTAGATTTCATTACCATTGTTATTATTATTATTATTATTACTACTTGTTTAGTGCTTGTTTACTTGTTTATGGAAGAGAGAAGAGATAAAATACTAAGTTTTGAAGGAGGCTTAGAAGATGCAGTTTCTTTTCTAAAGTACCCACCTGCGTAGAGCTTGCCTTGGCTCATTTGGCTTCTCCAGTTAAGGACGAAAGAACTGTTCCCATTGAAAATATTGAGCGTCCTGATATCCCAGTGACACCCTAGAGTGACTCCCATGGAAGGGTTGTTTCTTGACTAATAGTTGACAGGGAGGCACAGAACTTTGCCCTTTTTAATTATTTTTTGGTTTTGGTTTTGATTTTGTTTATTCTTTTTTTCCCCTTCTATTTATGTTTTAATTTATTTTGATAAGGTCCATTGTTGGAGGCAAAATTAAACTGGGCTCTTTAACTGAGTCAAGCCTTGCCGTCCAGCTTGTTGTAACACCTTTGCAAAGTGCTCTTGAAAGGATCCACCTAGAAATCACAGGAGAGATAAGTGTCCCTGAGATAACTCAAAAGAAATTAGAACAAAAAATAAAGGGAAAAAAATGAGAAAGCCAAAACAAGTCCTCCATGACCTGGCTTGAAGGCTGACTACAGTATTGTGGAGGAAGTGGGTGTCATCTAGATGAACAATTTCCGTCAAAATAAAATTTTGGCTATTGAACACTGAGTCATATACTTCTGAGAAATGGGGGAGTTTTATTATTTCCTGTGAAAGTGTCAAAATACATAAAGATATTTGCTTCTTTTCAATATCAGTGCACTGTGCTTCCGGGGAACTTTCTGAAAAGATATTTGAAAGCTAAAAACCATACTTACTTTTAAGAGGAAAAAAAAAATGTATTTTCTCTGGCAAGTGAGTAAAAGTAATGTTCTTCCAACGCACCCAAGAAGGAAGGCAAGTAAGTTTTACTTTAACAGAAAGAAAGAAATCTTAAATGTGGAAAAAAAAACAGGGCAAAAGTGTTGAATACTCTTTCCATTTAGACTTTTCCAGACAGGGTAGGACAAGAAAAAAAAAAAGTCTTGAGCTATTAACATCAAACTTCCTGGTTTCCTTTTAAGTTTTTGAAAAAAATCGATTTCATAGTAGAAGGTTTCTTTCCTGCTATCCAAAATGGCGGTCAGTCTCTACAGGGATTATTTATGAGACTTAGTGTCCCAAAGATGTTGATGCCTTCTCCAACCTCCCTTCTACTGTACCATTCATCCTACTTAGCCACTCTTCTGTACTATGGTTAGTAAGAAAAACCACTGGGCTTGCTACACTTCAGTCATGTCCACATTGAGTCATGTAGTCTCATTAGGCACACATCCTACAATCTAGGAGCTACATACTGTATGTCCGTAGATGATTATTGTAGCTATGGAAATACAAAGAAGACAATGGACTGGCTATTATTCATTTTGGGGGAAATACTAGCAGGATTGGCAGACAGAATTTAGAGAGTAACTAAGAGAAAGGATACTAGTCATCTCCAGTCGCTGTTTCAAAATACCTGAAGAGGGTGAGCGGTTTCATTGTTTCCAAGACTTCAGTTCATGGTGTGTTGATCCCACTGCTTTGTGCTTGTAGAAGTACAAAACATCATGGTAAGAACATGTCATAGAGAATGTCTGATTACCTCTAGGCCAGTGCTTCTCAACCTTCCTGATGCTGCAGCCCTATAATACAATTCCTCATGATGTTGTGGTGGCCCCCAACCATAAAATTATTTTCGTTGATACTACATAACTATAATTTGCTATTGTTATGAATCATATTGTAAATATCTGTATTTCCCAATAGTCTTAGGCAACCCCTACGAAAACATCATTCCATCAGAAGGGGTCATGACCCACAGGTTGAGAACCACTGCTCTAGGCACTAAAAAGAGAGGAAGGGTTGAGCTCTCAATATCCCCCAAAAGGTATGCCCAGACGACAAACGCTTTTAATGCTTCGTTAATGCTGTTAAGATTAAGCAGGTTTGTTATGTACAAATGAATAACAGAAGAGACACTTGAGTGTTCTTTCACTAAGTAAATGGGTTCAAACAGAAAAGCTTACTTTTCGACAGGCTTAAAGAAATGTCTATGGGAAAGATGAGAGTGGAAGAGCTGCTTTCATGATCCATTACTCTTTATGAGAAAAGAGAATAGTTACCTAGTTTAGAAGGCATTATACTATTTTGACACACTCAAGACTCCAAAGGCCATTCCAAGTGTGAAGGCTGCCGTGAACAAGAGTTCAGACCAGAGGAACAGTTCCAACTACTCGGAATGAAAAACAAATAACAGCAGCAGTATTTGACAGTTAATGAAAAAAAAAATGCAGTGGTGTCGAAGGTGCTGTTTCTTCTCTCTTCTTCCCTTACTTCTTTTATTTTCCTGGCAGTACACTTTAAGTTCCCCCAGTCCATACAGCTTTAGAGGCCACTGGAATCCAGGACTTTGGATTGACTGCTTTCCATTGCCTGCTAATCTGGGGACAACATACTCCTATTTGGGCATCACCGTCAGCATCCTAGCTCTCTTTTACGGAAGTTGCGCCACCTGGAACCAGGAACCAGCAGCGACTCTAGACTTACGAAACTCTTGTTTTGACAGCTGCATGATCTGATTGTATCATCTAAGACTTGTAAACTATCCAGTGCCGTCCGTGTTTCCCTCTCCACTGCATCACGGAGTTGACGAGAGGGGACTGACTGAGGGTATCCTGAGCTCCATCTGTCTTCATGTGCCTGTCACCGGGCTCTGCAAGATCAGGCTCTGGCAACCCTGTCATCGAGAAAGCAACCCACCTCTTCTCCCTAGCCTTTCGTCGCTTATTTCCTTTCAAGCCATAAAGCCCTTTGCCCTTTTCTGTTCTCCTACAGATTTGCTCCAGCTACTCAGAATTCAAATGGCCTCTCCCTGGACGCTTGGCACCCCGACATCTAACTGATATTGTTCCATGTCTTCTAACTGTCTTAATATATCAAACAATGACCTAATGTGTCATTTCAATTTGTCAGTTTTCTGTCATCTGATGACTTCTACATTATAAACTTCTTAATTATAAGACAAGGGTCTGATGAACTTTTCTAGAAACAGGGATCCATCACCTCACTAAAATGAAATTTTAGAACAACTATTAAGAAATAGTCCTTCTTCTTTATCCTTTCTGTCACTCACTATACTACAGGCCCCTCATACTATTTACAGTCTTCCTTTTTCTTCAGTACTTAATTTTTTCATCAATTAATTTTGAGTCCTATAATTCTTCATTTGTTTCTGAAGAGAGCATTTTTTTACACAGTTCTTTAAAGCTCATCAGCATTTCCTTATTTGTATAAAAAGAGTGCAACAGTACAAGAATAAATGAGACTCATAGAGAAGTAATGAAAGAAGACAACCAATAACACTGACTTATTTCAGGAAGGGCAGAAGAAGACGAGGGGGAAGAGGAAGAAGCAATCGCCCTTCCCAACAGACACATTCTTTCAACTCACCACCGAGAGCTGTGGCCATCAGGCTAAAGCCTACTAATCTGGGAGTCCGTTTAATTTTGCTTTATGTTTTTGCAGAGCACACTGCCATTCCCGGCTCTTGGATCTCCGCCAGCAAGTACACTGGCCTTGATTATGGGGACACGGTGGCTTTGGACAGCACTCCAGGCATGCTTGTTTGTATCTCAGGCCCGGCCTATTGGACTGCTGGCTGAACTGTGGCAGGCAAACAGGATTGTTTCCACCGGTTCTGTTTTCAGCAAAGAATTCTTTTTAATTCCCCTGTCCTGCATGTTGCCAAGATTCTTAAAATACTGTTCATGAAGATTGCTTGTTGTTGTTGTTGTTACCCGCCTCAGAGCCCAGATGTAGGAACCGAGCCAGTGCAGCTGGTGTGACTCGGCCCCATCCTCACAGATAATTCGGTGTTTGAACAGTCTCTCCCTGTTTGAGATTGTTATTATTTTGGAAAACTGTAAAGTAAATGCTTGTAGATGTGCAAGATGAGGGTGTAATAGCACTATAGGTTAAAGTTCAATTTCTTGCTCCCAAGGGGCATCATCAAGTTGGATAAATGGAAACCTATTACTGTTCCTCCCCCAAACCTGTACCCTTAACAGCAAAGATATACCTGCATGGGTAGCAGGCACATGTTTGTCTTGCTTTGTGCCATTTTCAGGAGACTTTCTGCCATGAAATATATGTATTATAACCAGCAGCAAAAATTAAAAATCATGAGAGTTTGGGAAGAAAAAAAAATACTCATTCAGAAATTCCCACACAATACCCAGTTGTACTCAGGGCAATGACAGCATTTTACATTAGACTTTCCTTCTGCTAAATGCTGGCATCACGTTTACTACTTACAAAGTAATTGCGTTTTATAGCTGACTCCACATTAGACTGATACCGAGTGAACATAATATTAATCTCTGTGACCTACTTTCCAATCTGTATTCTTCTGTGCAATATGGTGATGATAATAACAGCAACTACTGTTGAATGGCTTAGTGAATTGTGCTGTGTGTGTTACATGGATTAACTCATTTAATTCTCTCAACAAATGTATGAGGAAGCCACAATTACTATGCCTCCTTTACCAATAAGGAATCTGCAACCTAAAGAGTTTAAATGATTTATCCAGTGACTCAAAGCTAGTAAATGGCAGAGCTGGGATTTGAGCCTCTAATCTCAGAGCCTGGATCCTAATCACCACACTGACTTGCAGTTTTGAAGGGAGGCATGGAGGGGGAGGCTGCTGCTGTATAACAAGGAAGTGCACATGCTGGTGGTTATGCACCCAGAAATGTGTTTTGCTTTTGGAAGTTGCCCACCAAGCAAGCCACAGTGCAAAGATCAATACCTGACTAAGTGCTGAGAATTTCTTTTCTCCTCAAGGAACAATGCCAACTTGCTTTGCAGTTTCTAAGCAAATATGTCTATCAAATCTGATAAATGAATAAAAGAACATGATATTAGTGGCAGGTAATTATTTGATACATATCCCTTCCTTGACTTTCATATGCTTTATCAAAAATCGTGAGTGCTTTAAGCTCAAGGACCAAGCAATGTGGAAAACTCTAGTCTCAGGATAAATTGCAGAACCCTTCTCAACTGGGGACATTTTGTCACTGTTCAGATATACACCTCTTCATGCTACCAACTATTGCACCAGTGCAAGACATTAACCAACCTTTGCAATAAATCACCAACACTGCCTTACAATTGCTGCGTTCCCCCCCCCCCACAAACATGGCACCTTCTTTCCTCAGCTTTAACAGCAGCATCAAATGTAAAACAAATTCAAATATCTTTTATGACTTGTAATGGAAATGCCTACAACAGGCTGTGTTTTTCAGTGCTTGCCCTACAGTGCGTGGTTCTATTTGGTAGCTTTTGGAGGCTTTGGTGAGTACAGCCTAGCTAACGGAAGTAGGCTTGGTCTATGATTCCAGCTGCTCATCTGCTTGCTGCTGGCTTGTGATGCAAGGAGCCACCACCACAGACTGGATGCTGTCATGCTTTCTGCCCCATGGTAAAGCATATCCTCCTCAAGACATCTATCCCCTTTTAACTGTTCTACCAGCTATGTAAGCCACCAGGGCACACACACACACACACACACACACACACACACACACACTACAGTTTTCTATCTCATTCATTTTTAAAGTGACTTACTAATTTGCCTTCATGATCTCTGAATTCTAGTAACGTAATATATATCCATACAAGTAAAGTTCTTTGCAAAACTTCAAGTGTTATCAGGCTTTTAGAAATCAACCATTCCTTTTCATGTTACCTGAAAGGCTTGAACCCAGCCCAACTTATCAAACCACTCGGAAGGGTGAGAAGAAAGTCCTATGAAGATAACGAACAATGCAAAGCAGCTTTTATAGGGAGAAACAATTAAATCCCCGGGTCCTAAAAGTCTTATATTAGTAAGTTTCTCCATTCAGTGAAATGACCAAAGCTCCGTCCAGAGACAAGCTGCCTTTAACCTATGACTGTGACCTCTGAAAATAAATATAATGGGGGAAAAAAACAAAGAAAGGAAACAGGAAAAATCAGAAATTTCAGAAAGAAAAAACCCACAAAGCTCACTTCCAAATATGTAATCTTTTCCAATATAGACTGTTTTGCACACTACGTTGTTATTGCAAAAGTCATTAAAGTTATGGCTTGTCCTGGAACTCCAAGTCACACAATAAACACACTGGAACTGGAAATAATGATATAACATTATGAAATCATCATCATATGACAGTGAAACATTAGCGAACACATCATGAAATAATCACAGTTTGCAACCAAAGCTTTCTCCGTATGCAAAGGAGTTGGGAACACTTGGCTCTGAGAGCAGCCCTAGTTTTTTCAAGGAGAGCTTGCAAAAACAACTGGATTCATCAGTGGGGAGGGGGTCAGAACAGTCATCTAAATGCATGTAGAGTGTCTTCAGAAGACGGTTGGAGCCCCCCCACGTGTTGGCTTGCCATCGATAACTTTGTACTGATCAGATATGAGATATAAAAGGAAAAGCTTCCTTCGTGCTTGTAGAAAGTAAGTATGTTGCAGCAGGCAAAGCATTCGAATATGGTGTGTCCGCATATGGATGCTT